GATAAGTATCTCTTACTCAATAAGCAGACAACACCGCACAACAACAAGACTTCACCGATAAATTTATTGCGGATCACCAGCCGAGTGACCATCAACAACGTGTTTTTCTGTTGGTAATTGAAAATCCGTCCGTAATCAATCATCGGCGATGAGTCTGTTGGTGATGACTTTTTCCACTTATTACATATGGATTTTTTTCGGTCGGTGAAGTCTCTCTTGTTTTGTTGTGCAGTACACAGTCTCTTAATAAAAAAAACCCAGATCAAAAGCATCATGGGTATTCGACTAGGAAATTGTGAGCAAGATAGAATGGTGTTCGTTCCATTACGATCCATAACATTAAGCTTGCAATATACACAAAGACGAACCGATACACAAAATCCATTCAGTATTTTCTTTTCTTTTTTTAAAATTGTTTGATTTATTTAATTATGATTAACTGTATCTGTATTTTTGCAACATAATTTAAACAGATAAATCACATAAAACATGTAATCTCGACAAACTTAACAATCGATGAATATGATATTAGTGCTAATGTTCCCCGTCCCGGGGTGGCTTTCGACCCGGGCCAACATGTGAGCCCCGAACCCCTTCCCATGTGATCAACTCTCCATATTTAATTCACAACATGATAACACTTCTTGTTTATTATTGAAATAAAACGAAAATCCTTTTTAATAAACCATCTTATCCCTGATCCAAGATATCGAACCGACAACAACCATCATGTGCCGCTCCGCTCGATGATTAACTTTCCATTTCAAGATCGGTTTTTTGTGAGTAATTTGTCGTAAAGAGTCGTCATTTAAGTTTGTTTTGATATGTCAATTGCTCAGTAGACAAGACTAGCCCCGAATATCAAATTTTAGAAGACGACACCCAATCAAATCATTGACCCCACTTTCATAAATACCTTGCGACACGAGATAAATGGGGTGTCATCTGATATTTTTTTGGAAATACATGCAACGGCGGAACACGAGCCTTGGAGAAAATCGACATGATATTTTATACAAATGTGTCGCGATAAACACATTTAAGCTGTTTAATATAATCATTTACAAATCCAATAAATCGTACAAACTCACGAACCAGTTTTTTTGATTAGTTTCACATATGAAACAACACGACTGTTTTTTGTGTGGAAAAAAACAATCATGAATGTTTCATATATGAAACAATACAGTAAAAGACCATATTTTTACACGTGTTGTTATATATAATACAGTAAAAACAGTCATGAATGTTTATAAATTTGTATGAATTATTGGATTTTAAAAAAGGGTGGTGGGTCCCCAAAATTATATAATTTAAAGTTTTGTATATTTTTTTTTCTTCCAAACTGCACATGAGATGATGTAATTTTTTTGGGTTTATTTATAACCTAAGCCAAATACATCTATAAATATTGTTAAATGAGACCTTCTTTTGAAAACCCATTAAATTGTGATAATTTTGATAACTTGTTTATCATGTGTTATTTTATATGATTTTTTTTCATTTAAGACTGAGATTTAGTATAACGTATTTGTTTCACATGTATATGGTTCACAAAGTGAACTTTTTTGACGTGTTTGTGAAACAAATAATAACGTAAAAAAGTTGCACATTATGAACTGAATGCATATAAAACAAAGACAAAGTGAAACAAATATATGTTAATCAATACATTAAATATTTTGCTTAGATGGAAAAAATTAACGTGAAACAAAGTCTTAATGTAGAAGTTCTCACATATCTCACAACTTTTGGAGTTCTCCAAAGATTAGGCCCTTCATTAAATGCATCCCACCCATTAATTTTCTCTATATACACATCAATATTAATACTGCGACATGTTCAAACGAGAACGCTAACCATTTAAGAAAACGAGAAAAAAGTTGTTAATGTACAAAATCACACAAGACACACACACACACACACATATATATAGGTGAGCATTCAAATAAAAACCACTCAATTTATAAAAACCGTGAAAACCTCATTCAACCAATAATAATTTTTCATTTTGTTCATTTTTTTATGATTATGAGAGGTTGATTAACCATTTTTATTGTGGAGGGTATTAATCATGGATATTATCATCTTCATTATTTTAATTTTAGAGAAATACATGAAACAATTTCATTAAAATTTCATTAAATATTATATGAAACAATTTCATAACCATATATGAAACAAATTCATCAAAAAAAGTATTATATGAAACAATTTCATAACCATATATGAAACAAATTCATCAAAAAAAGTATTATATGAAACAATTTCATGCAAAAATTTCATAAGATTAAACAATGAAATCGACGTATGAGGATGGTTTGTACAATTTTTACAAATGAGGGTGGTTTTCATTTGAT